TATAAAGTATGCTCCTACTTATTGAAAAATGAGGGAAAAAATCATGTAATTCCTCGTAGATGCAAAAAATAATATCTTAGAAGGATACAGGAGAAACTAATAACATTGGCTGCCTTCAGAGAGGGGAACTGATTGGACAGAGGACAGAGGTAAGGAGACTTTTCACTCTATATACTCTTATGTACCATTTGAATGCTGGTCACAAGTATATTACCTATTCAAACATTAAATGTTTTAAAATAGTAAAATATGATAAAACATAAAATAAAAAATATATAAACTTAGAATCCTACCAATATATAATGCATTTTCACTGTTCAAGAGACAGCTAATGAGAACATCTCAATTCTGTAAAGCAACAATTATACAGGCCACATTTCTTTGAACATTTGTGTAATAAAGCTAAAAATGACTGCAAATTCTCACTGTCCTCAGCACAGGCCCCATTCCTGCCTAAACTTGGAGCCTCTAGAGTTCAATCAAATTTATCACAGAAGCCTTCTAACTTGGTCAAGCCCCATGCTCATTTTTTATTTCTTCACCAGAGAGAGACTAATGAAGAAAGAGGCCAATCGTAAGTCCAGATTCTAACACTGTTGAGTCCTATTTCAGAAGTCTTGTTAAATACGCTTTCTGAACATAGCTATGTGACTGAGACATCGATCCATCTCCCCAGATGGAGAGGACTTGGCAGGGAGTCTGGCCCAAGCACTAAAACTTGCTATAAAATTCATATTTTCACTGCCTCCTCTCTCCTTATCAGGCATTTTCCACAAGATGATCAAAAAGCCACCTCTCCACCTGCCTATATCTCATTAATAGGGAAATAGTGAAAGAATACGGGAAAGAGACACTCAGGTAGCTGGAAGTGAGCTCTCAAGTATCCCCAGGTAGATGTATCCTCTTATTAGATAACTTTACCTCTTTACCAGAACAGTGTAGATCAGCGTGGATGATCATGTGATGTCACAGATGTCTCATTGGTAACAACAGATAGGATGCTAAATGTTTTAGCAGGTAAAAATTGTTTTAAAATTTGAATCGTAAAGAATTGAATGAGTGTGTGTGTTTTAGTGCATTCAATTACAATTTTCTAACATTATGAGCCTTTGGAATTAAGTTATACAAGCTTCAGAAATATGGTTAATACTTTCCTGATCGAGTTTCAGACATTCTGGGTAGATGATCTTTTATTTAAATGTTTGTATATAAACATATACAGTGTGTGTTTTATTTTTGCTTTTTCAGTCCTCCAATACCTGGTTAAACAACTCTTTATATTAGATTTTTCTCTGATAAAATAACTATCGTGGTTTTTTGTTTTCCTCATTTAGCCTTGACTAGTACACAAGAAAATAGTAATTCCAATTAAATCCTAATGGAAATTTTTTAAAAACCCATGATGACTACTAAAATGATTCATTCAGAAAAGAAAGAAAGAAAGAATCTAACAACAACAACAACAACAAAAGCTCTGAAAAAGAAGCATAACTACAGGGGGGAAGAGGATGTCCTTGCTCTAACAAATGTTTCAGTGAAATGAAGCTACACAAATTGTAAAGAATGTTATACCAGCACTGGAAAAGAAACACTGTAACAAACCAGAAGGAACAAAAGCAGACACAAACATTTACAGTGGTTTTGCAACATCTCAAAATTATTTTTAAAAATTAAATAACTCCAATTTATACTATATACCAAAGTTAATTTGGGATAGATTTAAGAGTTACATGTCCTGCAATGTAATAATTGCTTGAAACATGGGCCATTAATGACTGCTAATTCCTTTGGATGGAAGCAAGAAACAAGATATTCAATGGTGCAAAAGTATCACACACACACACCCAGACACACACTCCAGATGTTAAAGTTTTAAAATCCAGTATCTAGTGATCACCTTAACTAAGTGATCAAACTTAGCATAACTGCTAAGGGAATGAAGAGAGACATTTGTGCCTCCTGATGGAATGCGACATGACATCACTTTTGAAGTATTCCAGCAAAAAATATTTAATCCAAATCTATTCAAACTTCTAGGCCAAAATTCCAATTTAAAGAAAATGCAGGTGATAAAGGAACAAGTAAAAAAAAAAATAGCATGAGAAAACAATTGGACAAATCCAGAGTGCTGGACATTATACCACAAAATTGTTCTAGACGCATCAAAAAGACAATGTCGGGGGGAAAAAAAGAGCAGAGAGGCGTTATTCTAGATTAAAAGAAATACAATACTGAAATACAGTGTGTGACCTTGATTAGACCTTGTTTGGGGAAGAAAATAGCTATAAAAGACATTTTGAGCTTAAGTGGGAAATTTTAACTATGAACTGAGTATGAGGGAATTTTTATTACTTAATTGGCTGAGATTTGAGAATGATATTGCATGTAGAAGAATGTCCTTATTCTTAGGTGATGCATTTTGAAATATTCAAGGGTGAAGTGACATTGATATCTGCAACTTACTTCCAAATGCGTGAGAAAAAGTATTATATTAAAAGAGAGAAAGCAAATATGACAAAAGGCCAACAACTGATTAACCTAAGTGGAGGCTATATGAGTGCTCATTGTGCTATATTCTTTTAACTTTCTGGATGCTTGACAATTTTTAAATTGAAAAATTGGGAGAAAAGTTTAAATGTGAAAAAATTAAATTAAGAGAAAATAATAGTTAACATCTTTATGATTATTCAATGGAGAAAACCTTTAAAGTATTATTCAGAAGCAAAAAACATTCAGTGAAAGACTCATAGATTTAACTACTTACAAAGTAAAACTTTTAAATCTCAAACAAGTACCATAAACAAATGGCACATGATAAACGGGAAAATATACACAATATATTTGACAATAAAAGTCGAATATCCTTATTCTATATTTCAGTTTTTATAACTGAAAAGAAAAAATAAAAGATTTACACTCTGTGAGAAAACTGACTATAGGCATGAATAAAGGTTACATCCTGTATGATTCCATTTTTGTGATATTCTGTTAAAGACAAGTCCATAGGAATAAGGAACAGACCAGCTTTTGGCCAGGATTGGGATGGAGCTAGAGTTTGACGACAAAGAGGAAGCATGAGGGAAATTTTTGGAGTCACATAATTGCTCTGTGTCCTAACCGTGGCAGTTATACAAATCTATGCATGTGTTAACACTTATAGAATTGTATGTCCAAAGAGAGTTAATTCTATGGTCTCTTAATTTATGTATTAAAAACAAAAAAAGAAAATACACACATACATATCCCCAAATTTCTTTTAAAAAATACTTTAAAAGAAAATTTGCATCTGGATTTCTGCCAGAAAGGCTGCTTTGTGGGGGCTCTGTCACACCAGCCCTTGTGTTCTACAAGCCTGTTCTTCCATCTGTAAAAGGAAGCGATCTGTCTAGAGAAGTGGTTTTCATAGCTCACTTCCACCCTGCTCCCCCACCTTCCAAATTGCATCTCTGGGCACTTCTTTTGTAGAAGTGAGGGTGCAGTGTGTTTGAAAAGAAAGGGCATTCAGACTCCACTGAGCTATGGACCCACAGGTCTGCATCAACTGAAATAGTTTTGTTCTTGTATCATATATATATATATATTTTTTTTTTTTGGCCTAAAATCCTCTAGATTAGAACACCTGCTCCCTAGCCAGAGCCAGGAATCTGGGGAGTTTGAACAATCCTGGATTCCAAGGCCTACTTCTGAGGCCCACTCACTTGTCCCTTTGGCAAATTCCCCTATGTATCCTGGTGGATCACTGGGTACTGGCTCTTAATGGTCAGCGATTCTAGACAAGGTCTTTGGTGGTAGGGTGGGAGAGGGAGGCTGGAATTGTGCTTTTCAATTCTTGCTTGCACACGGATTAAACACAATGACACAATGAGAACTCTGAAAAGGTAGGGTCTGAAAGAAACTTAAGCCATTTGTTTTTACAGATAGAATGAGTTTTTGGAAGAGCACTTTATAGACAACAAAGGGCTGTGCATAGTTGGGGAAAATGCCATTACGAGGATGAATGTGCTGACCCTCACTCAGCAAGGCCAATGAGTATCATTAATAGCAAGAGCTGCCCTTTACTCTAGGCATGGAACCAGTCATGTACTAGGTCTCATGCTAAGGAATCTAAACCTTGCAACCACTTTGTGAGAGATGGGCTATAACTGCTTTGACAGGTGAAGAAACAGAGGCTCTGAGAGGCCCCAGATCACAATGGGAAGGGGTGTGAGAAGTTACAGTGTGTCCTGGCCAGCTGCTCCAGCCTTCCAAACCAAAGTCCATGAGGGAAACTCCTGAAGTCTGGTATTAGGCCTGTTCTCTTTCAGCACTCGCCCTGGAGAAGGGATTTAATGTCCGTTTTCACACAGACTGGTGGGAGTTGCCAAAGGCAACTTGAGACCTTGCCATCTAGTACAGCACTTGAAAAAATACTTTTAAACTTTATATAGTGGAATGGTTTCTTTGAAAACTATTTTTCATGTAAATCCAATCTACAAAACTAGAGTTGAGCCACTGTGGTTGAAAGTAAGGACAGAGGTGGTCTGAGATTCCTCCAGGGCCGCCGGGGCTCCCAGAGCACCCCATGAAAGCCACCTATCCAGTAGATGGCACTTACTGTGAGAAATGCAGGGAATACCATGATGTCTAGGGCTCTGGTTTTGGGGTGGGAGGAACCAGGTGGGATTCTGGGCACTCACTCCTGGGTTAGTCAGCATCTATCAGGGCCCTGATGCAGGTCCATCTGAGCCCGGCACCACCTTCCCCACCCTCCTCTCTAGCCAGGCCCCAGCAGCCATGAGCATCCGCGCACAGGATAAGAAACTCTGTCAGCATCTTATATCGAATGAATTTTATTCTTTAAAAATTAGGCTTACTAAGCTAAAAACTCCAACAGCCCTCCCTTTTTGTTTGCCCTTCCAAAAGATATCAGTTTTTCTTCACTGAACAAAGTTCAGTGTCATGTTCAGTGTTGGTAGCATGCTCAGGATCAATAGCAGATGTCGGGGGCTGGCTGACATGGCTCACACAGACATCATCGAGTGGACCTCTTTTTCGTAGATGTCCGGGATCATACCCACTGGAGAATTGATCATACGCACAGTGTTCTTGCTAAATAATTTGAATTCATAGCGAATAAGCTGTTCCCAAAAGCCGTTGTTGGGCCGGATGATGGGGCGGCATGATTTGGTCCACGTGTGGGCGTCCAGCAGCGACATGGAGCGGTACTTCATGAGGAAGGCGATGCAGAGGGCGGCGGAGCGGCTCACGCCTGCGGCGCAGTGCAACAGCGTGCGACCCTGCTTCATTTCCACGCTGCGGATATGATCAGCGATGGGGTCAAAAAAATCGTAAATGCACGAGCTGGCAGAGTCGGCCACCGGTACCTTTAGGTATTGTATGCCCTCATAGAATGTGTTGATAACCTCCACTGAGACATTGATGACAGTAGTGATGCGATTACTAGATAGCATGAGTTTGTTGTTGGCCCCCACCCCATTACTTATGTACAAGCTGCTGGTTATCTGGGAGAGGCCATGGATCAAGGGCTGCGGGACAGCCGCAGCTGAGAGGGGACCTGGGCGCGTTGTCATCAAGGCGGCAGGACAGTGGGTCTCTCTGGGCCGGTTTCGGGGCACCACTCCTGCTGGCGCTGGTATGTTCAGGAAGCGGCCACACTGCAAAGCCTCTGGAGTAGGTCTGAGGGACAGTAGACAAGTCACTGGTCACCACCTCTCCCCACCTCCACCTCCAGTGTCACAATCCCCTACTGCCCAGCCCACTAGTTTCCATGGCAATGGCAGCTTGCCACAAGGAGGATTTGGCCTCCCAGCCAGGCCTTTAGAGAAACTTCAGATCTCTTTTCTTTTTATCTTTCTTCACAGTTGTTTATTTTTCCAAGCCCATTTTTTATGTCTTGATGTTTTAAAAAATGTTCTGTTACCAGATACCTATTTTATGTTTCAATTATTGGACCACATTCCTTCTTTCTTTCTATTTAGATACACAAACACAATATCTATAAATGCATCTATTTTATTGATGGTGTGGAACAGGGCTTACACTTTTTCTACAAAGTAGCAGTATCATATTTTAAGTTGGGGAACAGCATTTGGCTCATGAGATATGCTAATCTTCATAAACTTGCAGTGAAATATGGGTTTGGCTGGGTTTGGTGGGCCTACCTGATATTCCTTTGTTGATTGTAGCCATAGAATTATGCTCCTGCTTACAAACATATCAGGACTGGTTTTAAGGGAACATTGCTAACCGATATATATAGCCCTTTATCTATGGTGAGTTGGCCTGTGGTGGACAATTGTGACTAATTTAGCTGTGTCACAGTCCATTTGTGCATATGGCCCAAATGATTTATCACTTGGTTCTACTTTACTTCCTGAAACAACAGTTCAAATTATCTTGTCTACTTTCTTGAAAAAGAATGCCCACATACTGTGTAAACTACAAGTCATTTTGACCACTACCGAAGGTCTCTTCCTAATAATGTTAAAAATTCTGGAACAAGTCAATGCTACATCATAATTGGGCTAAAAATAGATTTTCAAAAGTTACCCGAGATTTGCATTTCCTCTCAGCTAAGATTTTTGTAGAATTTGAAGATTCAAAAGAATTATAACCTGAAACAATTTTTTTTTCACAGAACAGCTAATAACTGTGTTACTTCACACTCACTCCTCATCATTCTGGGTTGTGTGCAAAGGTGTACTGTGACTATGAGCAAGGATTAAATAGATGCCAGCCTGTTTATGCATGATCAAGGAAATGATAACCTGAAAAGACAACACGATTTTCTTTTTCTCAGTTGTCATAATCAGATTATTTTTGCATTACTTAAACTGTCAGTCCCCACAAATCTATCTGGGAGAAAACAAAACACAAATACTATATAATGTATAGAAAATTGTCTATTGGGGAGAGTTCAATCGGGCTAAAATTATTTTTAAAAGTTTAGTCCAACATTTGAGATATGGCATCATGAGGAGCTTTGTAATCTGTGGACTAAAGTGGAACCCCTAAAAGAGTGTTAGAGTCTAGTTATCTCGTAAGTATACACTTCTTAAACTTTAAAAATGTAGTAAGATTAACCAAATAATTTCACCCACTATTCTCGAAGACAAGCATGACTTATATTAAATTGATGTATGTGTTTATTCTTTCAGCCAATATTTTGTGATGCCCTTTTGTCTGAGGGATGTTGAATGTCACAAAACTCCACTATGGGGCTTTTCCTGAGTAGATAATTTGACCTTTCTTCCTCCTGAGTTTGGAAACAGGTCACTTTCAGATTCCCACCTGTCTTTACTTTTCCTTATTATTTAGGGAAGAAGATGTATAAGGGACTTGCCCAAGAACACACTCTCTTCCTGCCTCTGGGAAAAGACCCTGATGTCAATAACTAGATAACGTTCAGATTTCTAAATTCTGTAGTCAAAGCCCTTTCCAATCTGATCTAAGTCTGCCTTTCAAAACCCATTTATTCATTGATTCATCAAATTTTTATTAAGAATCTGTTGTATGTTAGGC